ATATAGCTCCTTGGGATGTAGATGGTGGGCTTGGTGCTGAGAAGCAAAGAGAATAAATTTAGTATTTTACAATATTCCAAAAATATAATATTCTAGTGTATCCTTTTAGTTTGCAGAATACTTGATAATCTAAGATCCCACTGTTGATTTCTGCAAGTATTTGTTTTTTAATGAAACTCAATTCAAATGAATGTTTAATGATTATATGACCTACATTACTCCCGGGTTGCCTACCAAAAATTTGTCCCACATACCTTTAACTAAATATATTGTAATTAAAACAAATTGCAAAAACATATTATATTGTTTTTGGTTAATTCATTTAATTCATTAGTTTCACACAGGTTATAAATGAATGTACAATAAATATATGTTTTATTGTACATTCATTTATAACCTGTATGAAACTAATGCAGTTGCTAATATTAAATAAACTTAATCAAAAACTGATTTACCTGATACACCTGCAGAGGGTAAAAGCAAAGATGGAACAGCCAATTTACAAAGCCTGTTTTTTTGGGTAAAGAAACTCTTTCTGAAAGTGCTGACGACAGATTCTATGAGTTTTGCGGATAGTGGTGTTGTCCAGACTCGCAATGCCACCTCCAATAATCTTTACCCAATTATGAAACTTTTCTGCATCTTTCTCAGGACATGGAAAGTAATGTAGAGGTACACCTGAAAATAAAATAAAGTGACTATAATGGGCCTGACTGAAATGTGATTTTTAATCTTTCTAAGTTACTCTACATTATTTAACAATACATAATAATGTAATTTAATAACAGTAAAAAAATTAAGATATTGATAAATAATTAACATAATTATTTTTCTAGATCACTTAGTTCAAAGTTATAGAGACTAGCAATGTTATAAAAGACAATTTCAAGAACTCAAAAGCTGGCTAAAGGGGTGTAGGTAGATGCAGATGGATGCAAAATGTGGGTCTACATTTTATGTGAGAGAGTTTATTATAATTACATATGTATCATCTGTTATCGAGGATGAGGTTTTGTACCATAGGGACAATCAACTAAATTATTAATTTTCATTACTGTGCAGAATTTAAAAAAGAAATCCTACACTCTGTCGGTCTAGGTTATTTAGTAAAGATAAACAATCTTGATAATATAATTATGTATTTTCATTTCACCCTGCATTTCAAAAATCTAAGAACTTACAAATGAAATATATATAAACCTTCTTGTGAACTCTATGTAAGGTAAAGGCACTAATGCTTGACCGTGAACTAAAGAATGACACATTCGAAAAAGATATCTTTTATTAAGAATAGTTTTCTTGACATAACTTTACTACTGTTGTTAAAAGACATCTAGTGCCATCTAAGACGCTTAGACAAAACCTTTCATTCGCCTATTTAAGTAGAATTCAAAATAGCGTGAGTTGAAGTAAACTATGTAGCAATTGAACGTGTGCTTTGTAATTTATTATCAAAGGGTTTAAGGAGGTTGACATTTCACAGTTAGTTTAGTTTTATTTAAATGTGTAGTGTTCGTGTAATTATAAGAAATCATTATAAGAACCTACATGTAGCATTTATGATTTCTAAATGTTAAAAAAGCTTGTAGAAACCAAGAAAAAATATTTTAGAAACTTTGACTTAATGAATAAATAGAAAAGTTGTATTTACTGCTTTTTAATGGTTAGACAGATTAATCAGTTTAATATAAATATTACGCCGACAATATGGTGTATTAGGCACGTGGCATATAAGCTAGCGTAGAATACACATATTTGTTTAAAAGACGATTGAGGTTATGAAAGTTCACAATATAAAAACACACTTTACTAACCATCTTCTGATACTACTTGGCACCCAGGAACACAGCAGATATTTCGAGGCATTGTGTAAAATGTAAAATAACACTACAGTCACTACACTAATGATATATGGTCCAAACTCCCTACGGAGGGCCTATCAACATGTATGTCCAAAACACTTTCACAAAGTACAGTCTATGCTGGAATTTCGGTATTTCTGGATTATACGGAGGAACTGAAGCTCGACTCAACGTAATAACACAAAAAACACCAAAAATTACAAGAAAAATGCGCACGAGTATGCAAACACACCGGTGGAAAATTTCTTGTGACGTAGTGACGTTTAGACTCAGTGTTGCTAACATTTGGTATCTGTAAACTACTCTAAAGATTCTAAGATCGTAACTGTAATAAATACTATATAAATTATAATATCGCTAGCACATAATACAAAAAATTATAAAATGTTTTTAAAACAAATTATACTAAGTTGTTAAATCATTTATTTTTGTGTACCTGGACTAATAAAAGAAAAATAGCAAAATCATCAATTGTTGTAAAGTACCAAGTAGTCCAAGTAAAAAAAGAGTGGTAACACTGCAATAAAATGTTTCATGTATGCGGGGTAGATGGCGCTTTTCATAATATATAAAAAATGTTTTAAGTTACCAGGGCATGGGCCGACTGAGTTGGCAGGAACGGCCAGTTTAGTGACGCGAAAAAAGAAACGAGCTATATCGATTTGTCAAAATCGATTACGTCGATTCGACGTAGGTTATCTATCTAGGGTTAATGCCGTTAAGTTTTGCAAATATTTTATACAATGCCAAAATGTAATTTAGTAGGATCGTTTTATACAGGCCGTAACCATATTTTGGATTCATTCTTCTTGGGTTTCCCATTCTTTCTGATATTTTCGTGGATAAAAAGTCTCTTTCTTCAGTGGCACGTCCATAAGAATGGAAAATAAATAATAGACGCTTCACAAAAACATTAGAACTTGAATGATTTCAATACAATTCACCTACTTTTGCGAACGAAGACTAGCAACTAACTAAATACAAACACCAGTATTCAGGACTTATAGAAACAAACTTTATATACGTGGTTGGTTTTCATTATTAGTCGGGGAATCCTCAAGATGAGTTAGGATAACCTAAAAAAACGTCTAATTACGTTTTTGTTATGCGAAAATAGGGTAGTGCTATTTGGTATAGTGGGAATTCACCGACAGGTAAACAGTGATAACAATATGTAATTTATAAATTCTTTAAGATTTGATAAATATCACTAAAAGTCATCAAATAATTTTTAAGTGATTTTTTTTTTCAGATATCACTATCTAACTCCAATAATTCAACTAAATCTAGTGACAAAATCACTAAAGTGGCATTGCTGATAGATAGTATACCATAACTGTGTATCTTAATGGCTACTTTTAATAATATGGCTTGTTTGTATAATTAATAAATCAAAGTAACTTACCTGTAAATGTCCTTCGATCAAAATCATGAACCTGATGCATCCTCTGTGTTTGTGTTCTATGTAGTCATGAATTGACAGACCGAATCACACGAATTTTCCCCTTCCGGGTGAAAAATAAGATTTTTACTGGTATCCCAACCTATACCAGCTCCCACTGGCAAAACACTATAAAGCTCATGTCTTCTATCCCGTAAAGATAAAGATACATTTATTGCATAACTAATTACAATATGATCTTAAACCTTTATGGTGCAAGGTCGTTAGATTTGTTAGTTTTCCGATATAAATACTAAGTGGTAAATAGGATTAACGGAAATAATAATAAAAAAAAAAGTTATTAAAAATTTGGTATTTATTATTCCAAAAAAACTATCTGTTGCAGAAATGCAACATTACATCAAGTGTGCAAAAAAAACTTAAAGTTAGGAAATATGAAATGTTTTAAAGCAGTTATTTTGCTTATTATAACATAAACTAATACCACATTTTTCGCAGCTTGTTTGTGTAAACCCCTTGCAGTCTGGAAATTTGCACCTCATTCGTTTGTCCAGCCAAACTGGCCAGTGCCCGTATTGGTCCAACCTCACATCCGTCGGAGGAACGTGTTGAGCCGGACCTTTCTTCTTTCTATTTTGAATGAGACATTCAACATCACTTCCTCGCTTTTTACGGTTGATTGTCTTATATTTTCATAACGTCACTGCTATGGCAACTCTGAATTCAGCAGAATCGAGGGTTTTACTGATACTACCCTTTTCTGCATTTATTCTTCGATATAAAAGCCATAAATTACACATAGCCATATCTAAAAAATGATGAAAAATTCGAAGATACCAGCGTTTACTACGGAGTTTAATTTTGTAGTGGCCCATGACACAGTCTAAAAGGTCAACACCATATCGATTATATTCTGCGACGACCAAAGGACGTTCAACAGAAATGTATTGTTTTCTCGACTTGTCCCACCTTCTTACTACAGATGTTGGGTGCTTTCCAGCAAAATTGGTTGCTAGAGTGACGATTCTGTTATCTCTACAAGCAACCACAGCTACGTCAACTCCATTGCAGTTTCCGACCTGTTCTATTGACGTACCACGCGGTTCTTTTTTAATTTTTTTTCATCTGGCAGCTTGCAGTTTGAAATACGGTTTTTTCTTATAGTCCCTAAAGCCAAAATGCCGCGACTAGACAAGTATTCAATAAGATGGATCGAGGTGTAGTAATTATCGAAAAACAGCTGTTAGTTCTGATTGATAGGCACTTCACGGGCAAGGCGGACTACGACATTAGATGATGCCCCTAAGTCAGGCTCGTTGGCCGCACATCTGTTTTCCTGTCCACTATATACTTCAAATTTGTACCCATACCCAGATACTCCACATATAACAAACAGTTTGAATTGCACACATTTGTTCATCTACAGATAAATGCGCTTCAAATGGAACTTTTTTGAAATTATGGTTGAGAGCCTCTATCAATGGCCGGATCTTATATAAACGATCAGAATCAACATGGTCATATGGAAGCATTTTATTATTGTCGTTGAAGTGTAATAACTGTCTAAGTAATTCGAATCGTTTCGACGGCATTGTCTCTTGTACCGGAGCAAATCTAATGTTTTGAGACCTTTACATTTACTTTACATTTTTACATTTGGAATACGAACTATTGACATGTAATATACGATTCCAATGAATTGACGTATTTCTTGACTAGTAGAATTTACTGGTTTATTAGCATCGTTCTGTACAGTATAAATTAGTCTGGTCTCTTATAAAATTGATAATTTCTTCAGTAAACAGATACGAAAATACCTCAAATGGAGTATCTAAGCAAAGTATTTCTGGGGGTAACTTCTCAGATCCAAGAAAACGTAGTTGGTCTTCATTTGTGTTCATGGTTTTTGTTTTCCACGTGATATTAGTCCTAGGCACACAATTAGATATCCTTGGAGCTGCTGCAGAACTAGCACTAGTAGAAGCGGAGGCCAAACTTGGATCCATTGCAGTACTAATGATCTGAGTATTGGTGGATGTTGTTACTAGGGTGCTGGTAGATTGAACTTCATTTTCCAAGTCAGGTGGTACCTCTGGGTCCTCATCAGAACTTGCATGCTCATTCGGCTCGAAATTATACGTCGGATCGGCGACATCGTCGTCGTCAGAAAAGTCAAGGCCATCTTCGCTATCTTCACATTCTCCCGGTATATTTTCCAGGTCCTGAGTAGTCAAAGTATGCAATTTACGACTCATTTTGAACCTGTAAAGAAACATTTAAATTTATAAAAACGGTAATAAACATATACCACAACGCGCAATGTTGCATATTTGAAACAAAATAAAATCTGTCTAAGAAATAATAAAAAAATGTTTTTTCTAGTAAAAATATTATTGATTATTGAAATACATCTTACTCTTTTACTCATACCAATTTCAACAGCCAAATATCACTATTTCACCAAAAAAACATTTTTCGTAAGCGAATTCAAAGAGAGCGAAACAGGTTTGTACTCGTTCGTCACTTCAATGAAAGACAAATACAAGTGTCGCCGTCTAGTAAGCTCGTTTGTTACTAATTCGTTAGAATGCCTTGTTGCCGATGTACAACACCGAGTAAAGTCGGTCTATCGCTATTTGCTATATTTTTACATCTATTTGAATGGTATGTTGCAGAAGTACAACATGTCTCCATAAAGGGTTAATACAAAAACATATAGTTTGAGGCACACACACACACACACACACACACACACACACACACACACACACACACACACACGCACACTTTTGACTCACTTTCACATACGTGTGCAAACATACACAATATTCTGCATTTAAATAAATTTCGTGCGCTTTGTTTACTTTTAAATATGTTTATTTTTCATACATCTATTTTTAAGTAAGGTGGTGAATACTCTGTGACGTTCTTTTAAGCTAAATACGTATATTGTAAATCCGTAATTGGCTTCAAGACCTATTTTATAAGATTTGTGTGTAAATAGATTGTTACAAGCTGTGGATTTTGTGAATAATAAAAATAAAATAAAATAAAATAAACAACAGTCTACCCATGTCTGATATGCAACAAGAAAGAAAATAAATTTAAAATTAACTACTTACTAACAATAAGTTTATTAAAAAACTCATTGAGATTGTTAAAACATTTTCAATTAACAATTGCTTTAATTTCGTATTGAACATATTTCCATTTAATTGTTTCATAACTGGTGGTAACTGATTGTATACACGAATAGCAGTAATATAGGTACTTTTATAGTAAACCATATTTTTAATAATAGGTTTTTTTTGCGCCCGAAGCAAATATGGGCAACCCTCCGGAAAGCGGGTGAGGGAGGCGGTGAATGCTCATAGCATACCACGCAGCCGGCTGCGTGGTAATGTGGAGACTTTTATCCACTAAACACCGCCTTTATGCATTGGCTTACCGATCTGACGAGAGATCAAGTTTATATCATATTTATATTGTTTGCGAATGTTTTTCTTTGAATCAGATTTCAAATAAAAATTTGCATATTGTATTTTACAAATAGACATAAATCCAGGATAAATGTTCCAGTCAGTATTAGGTAACCATTTGTTCTGAAATCATCTCTTAATGATTCGGTACTATGCATGTTATATATAGTTCTAAGAATTTTTTTCTGGTGAACGAATGTGGATTGTATATCTGTTGAGTTTCCCTATAGTATGTGCCAAATCGATTGAGAAAAACGGACAATGACCTCAGATATGAGCCGATTGTCAAAAGGCGTAACTTACAAAATCTCAATTTAGATGTCATAATAATATTTAAATATTGATATTATTCACACTTCTAGGTCAGCACATTTTTTTGTTTTTTGTTTCTTAAATAATATTGTCTGTGGTTCCTATAAACAGCGTAAAATCTTACGGTACATCGCGAAAAATGTGTTATATTTTATATTTCAATTTATGGTAAGTAAAAGTAAAGCAATTCATTTAATAACAGTTTCACATAAAAAAAATATTTGAAGCAATATAATCACCATATTGAGCTTTTGTAAATTCATCCCTTTAAAATAAACAAAACGCGCGTTACGTCAGTTCATCCTAAAAGAAACGTGACAATGGTAGCCAGAGATGCGTCACCTTTTTTGGCCCGATCCGCATGCACCGAATAAAAATAAAGTTCTTATATAATATTGAAAATAAAGTTTTATCTTTTGAATAAGTACGTACTTATCCGATGTCGTTAGCACTCGAATCTTTATATGTGTTATAAATAAATGCTTTTTGTTGTTAAATAAATAAAGTACGTTATAACAATAGATGATTTTTCTTCTACAGCGATCTTTTACATAACTTTTTAGTTAATAAATATATATTATATCAATCATTATAAAAAAATAAAAAAATCATTTTTTATCATTATAAATAAAGAAAGTACTACATATAAAATGTGCCTATATATTGAAAGTATGTAACCCCTGGTTAAACGACCGAAAGGTCATTGTCCATTTTTCTCAATCGATTGGCACATACTATAGTATGACACCGGAAGTTAGGAGTGGATAATCGCTTCCAAAATAGGCATTTCTAGTGACACATTTGTAGTCTCTGCCAGGATGGACAATGCGTAACATGCACTGGATATCTTTTTATTTATTTTTGCAATATGTGCCTTCCAGTTTAGATGTTGATCTATTTCGACTCCTAGAAAATTTATGTTCTTTACTTCTGCGACCGCTATATCATTCACGGTTATATTTAGTTTGGCGGGTATACTTTTGTAATTTCTAAATTGTATGAGTTTGGTTTTTGACAGGTTTACTTTTAAGTTTATTGACTTCAGCCAATCAGTAACTGTTTTCAATGTTATTTTTTTAGTTTTCATAATCAGAATCATTTAAGTCATCATTAGAAATAAATATAGTTGCATAATCGGCATACATTACGCATAGGTGGGTAATTATGTTTGGGAGGTATGGTTAGAAATAAAGGGGCCCCAATATGCTGTTTTGGGGTACACCCAGTATTACATTTTCAAATTCAGATTTAACTACCTTAACCATTTTTGTAGATTCATTATATATCTCGATAACAGTTGCTTGCATTCTATTATTAAAATAATTTTCTATTAATTTAAGTGATAGTCCTCTTATTCATATGCCTTCTAATTTATTTAACAAGATATCATATTTTACAATCATACAACAATACAAAGAGACATCAATAAAAAGAGCAGAACATTCTTCTTTATCATTGATTTATGCCAAATGGTATTAAATAGTTTATATATTCTCAGAGATGTAGTTTTATTATTTTGAAATCCATAGTTTTTCATTTGGAATACTATTAATATCCAAAAACTTTGTGATTCTGATATATATTACTTTTTCAAATATTTCCGGAAAACTTGGTAATGCAATTTGGTCTATAGTTATTTCTGTCGTGCCGTGATCCTTTTTTATATAATAGCTTTATGAGAGCTTTTTTAAAGTATTGGGAAATTCTCCCGTTTCCAACATTATGTTTATGATATGTATATTACATATCCGTAGCTGGGTTTGTTTTTTAATTTTTTAACTATGTTTATTATTTCACACTTATTCTACTGGATAATGGAACATACGCTTCGAGTTACAACTGTGTTGTGGTTTATAATTATTTGATGTTAATGTTGTTACAGTTTTCGTTAATATAGTGATGGTTGAAAGTATTTGCTAGTTTTGCAGGTGACTTTATGACATTGTCGTTTTGCACTATGTAGTCTATTGTAGGTTGAATTACATTTGTGCTTTGGGTTTGTCGTTTAATTAATGCCCATGTGGCCTTAGTTTTGTTTGTACTATATGAGATAAATTTAACATTAGTAATTCTTTTACTCTTTTATTACACGCTTTAGGATTTTACAGCAGCAAACGTATTTAATTTCTTTGTTCCTGCGAGCCACTATATTTTGTTTGAAGATACATTTTACGTTTACTCTTACTTGAGACTATGATACCTTTGGTTTTCCAGGATGTATCTTTTTTAAACCATATTTTAACTTTTTCAGTTGGAATACAAAGGTCAAATAAAAGTTTAAATAATAATTTATGTTACGTCTCATTTTGTATGTAGATTGTTGTTTCGGGTCTGAGTGTCTTTCGTGTTTATGATTTATTGTAACGTGAATTAGAAATTATTTTGCAAGAATCGTAAAAAATAATTGCCAAAATATACCGCTTGTCAAACCACCGCAAGGAAGTCGCATTGATAATGTTTTACGCTTATCACGCTATGGATGATAAAGGAATATATATATATATATATATATATATATATATATATATATATATATATATATATATATATATATAGGGATGAATGTTTTTGGAAAAAGACTTTATAAGCGATATCCTAAAACTACGAATTTAAAACAGAAACATTAAGGAGACGACGGAAAATTTTTTTGTACCACACTCTCGTTCTTTTTCTTTCAATGGGGTACATTGTCAACATTTGATCTTTTTTGTCCACCCCACCCATCATGATATTGTAATCTGATATCAAGATGGGTACATCATTGACCATGGTGATGGAGTTACCATGGTACGTGGATATCGTCGTAACTCTGTTCTGATCTCCATACCAAGACATCAACATCACCTGAAGTGAAACCAGTTATTTCACCAGGATGCATTTGCGCTTTCGTCAGCCGACTCAAAGCTTCGGGCAGGAACTGACGATTGGTTCGTAGCGTTCCAACGCAATCGAACCCGAAACTTTTTAACCGCCGGGCGAGCGCGGGAGTGTTATAAAAATTATCCATCCATACCGTGGGACCTCTGTTCTCAAGACCATAGCTTTAGTCGACGTAAACGAATCTAACGGATCTAGAGTTTGCGTTGTGGATCTTTTATGGGCGTGAACCTCAAACCGCCACAAATAGCCTGTTTGAGATTCACAGACCTCATAAGTTTTGATCCCGACTGAAGCGGCTTTGTTTGGAATGAATTGATTGATGTCCAACCACCCTTTCCACTGAAGCAGCGACTCATCAAGGGCTATATTTTGGCGCATTTTATACAAATTTTAAAATTTAGTGATCAGATGTGACTGAATTTTAAACAATTTTTCCTCGGAAACCTCCAGTTCCTGAAAACACATGTCCTGGTTTTTATTAAAATGCATCTGCTTAAAAGTTGAAATATTTTCAGAGACATGTGTGCTCTAAAATCGGGTGTACAGAATACGTCGGAATCGGCATACCAGTATTCTTCAAGTCTTGACAACAACACCCATCGCCAATATTAGTGCAAAAAAGGTGTACATTTCATCAGTACTTGTGTCTACCCAATTGCAAATCCTACTATTGAGATGGATATTATTGTCAATCAACATTTGGTGTGCCAATTCTTGTGCATATCTGTTGGTTTCCGCGACAATGTGCTCCATAATTTGCTGATCCTAAATGGCATTGAAAGTTTCATAAGGATCAACACTTGGAGTGGTTGGCCTAACAACTCTGTTGGAAAATGTTTCCCTACTCAGTTCAGGTGGAACTGGGCGATCTCCACTGAAAATCTAAGAATTTGCTGGGCTGGTAGACAGCAGTGTTAGTAGATGTGTCCTCAGCTGAGGTGACAACATCTGTAGGTTTCCCTGCCAAGTTGTCGGTGGGCCGTTCCAAATCGATGGGATGATCATCGGTTGGCGTGTCCATCATCAACCTGATCTTCCTCGGTACAGACGCCGGTATCACCACCTCGTCATCGTCGCTTTCATCAGACTCCGTTTCGCTTCCTTATGACATGATGTATACAAATACCAGCAAAAGTTAACCTCATCAGAATCCACAAACCTAAAACAAAAATAGTTTTGATGTGGGCATCAACCAAAAACCGTTTTAAAAATTTAATTCATACGATTAGAGAGTTATTACAAGTATAACGCGTCGCAGGAAAACGTTGTCGCAGGTAACAGCTAGTAATATGTAAATAGAAAAAAAGTTACTTACAGTCCAGGCGAAGGTGCAAGAGTTGAGGAAAGTTGTGACTCGTCAATAGCAACATCGGCACTAGAAGGCGGTGGATCCATCACCTCAGGGCAGGGTCTTGAAGGCCTAGTTAGAGATAAAGAATATAAGTAATACGATAAGGAGAATACCTACAACTAAAACACTTATATTAGCAATCTTAAATTGTAAAATAAGATACTTACAGTACAGGAGAAAGTGAAAGGGCTGGGGAAAGTGACGTTGGGGGTTGAACTACTATTTCTGGATAGGGTCTTGAATGCCTGATAATAGAACAAAAAATAGTGTTAGTAATACAATCGGAACAATATCTACATCTAACATAACTCAAGTAGTACGGTCACAAATACTACTTACGATCTCCAAACGCGCATTCGCCGAAGATGAAGGGGCCGCTCTATCGGCTCGACAACTGGTAGTTGATTAATATCAACAATCTCCATTCTAAAAATTCCCAAACGAATCATTAGAATTATCACAAAAAAAGTATTTTTAGGTATAATGAACGTATGATACATACTCATTAATTGCTTGAGGTCTTCCCGAGATCCAATCACCACTACCACGCCGACCACGTCGACCACGACCACGTCCACGTTCACTACCCGCCATCACCACAACTTGAGCAATTCGACCACCCCTCACACGCACACCTCTGCCTCTGCCGCCACGCGTACGAGGGCGCCTTGGTTCACTAAGCCAGAAAACATGCAATGAAATGGTAGAGCAATTAAAATGGAAATGTATAAAATAATCCAAAACTTCCATGAAATTAAGTTTTATGTACTATATGAATTTATTACGATATATGGGAACATATTTTATTAATATTTACCATTACTGAAATAACTAATATAAAAAAATACAAGAAAATAGTTATTCCAACATAGAATCTACGTTGTGTAATCTATTAATCGAGCTACCAAATAAAATGGCTAACTCGGTCGACTTGACCCTAATATACTGTGTGGCAAGCAGCCAGATTCTGGCAGATTGTTTATTGTGTTTGTAATTTTGATATTTTGTAAAAATATAGTGAAAGATAGACACACTGAACACATAAAACGTATGTAATTACTATTACAGTAGGTGCTCGATAATCCGGCGCTCGCCAATCCGGCACGCACAGTAGTCCGGCACTTTGGGACTCAGGTAGCCCGCTCTATAATCCGGCATTTTACACAGCTGAACGCCGGACTACTGAGCGGTTGGGTTGAATTGTTCGAGTAGTTTCTCTCTTCTCTCGCTCGGCAGTTCGTACTTAACATAAACAAATACAACATACTTATTTGTGTTTATGTTAAGTACGTAATTTTATTTTTATAATAAATTCACCTAACCATATTAAAATAGTATTTTACTGTGGATCTATTTTTCTTCCTATACAAATTCGATAATCCGGCAGTTCCGACAATCCGGCATAAAGGGAAAAAATCGGTTGCCGGATTGTCGACCGCCTACTGTATAAATTAATTTGCTAAAGGTATTTGCTATGAATAATGTATTTTCCATCAACAATACAGAGAAGAAAGTACAACATCCGTTTATGTTAAAATTTTTGATTAAAAAGTACACAAATCCCTAATTTATCAAATAAAAAATGTTAATAATCTTACCCTTCCATGTTAAAACAGCACCAAACTTCACTATCCACTCGATATACGTATAAAAAGGGCACAAAAACAGCGACGGGCGACCACACGAAAGCGAAATTCACAAACGACAGCGTCACAGGCTGTTTATTCAAAATTTCTAAACAATAGAGTACCTTAGTATCATTGTATTGCGTACTCTTTCTTCGGTCTGTAATTTTCTATAAGTATAAGTGTGTTAGCAATCATTGTCGCCGGTCATTTTACCCGCCTAATATCCAACCGCGGATCGGCCAGAATCTGCTCGTTTGCCAGACGAGTGTGATAAACCACCGGCCAGATTCTGGCCGATCGCCATACAAGGGTTATACCCTAGAGCGGTCGCGCATATAAATATACCATAAGAGGTCGCGCGGATGACGTGTGTCATCCATTTACCAATGATAATTTATAATAATAATACCAATATTTTGGGTACCATATTTTTGTTGAAAGTAACAGACATAAAATCACCTACATAATAAAATAAAAAAGGGGTTTTAATTAATAATTTCCTTGCTTCTGAGATCAACATCTGATTTTAGCTATAATTATGAGAGACTAAAAATATTCTTAGATATGATATTCATAACAACTATTGCACATATACTTGCAATGGTCGGGACAAGTAAATTTCCCACTTTTTTTTTTTTTTTTTTTTTTTTTTTGCGCCCGAAGCAATTAAAGGGCTACCCTGTACGTAGGGAGGCGGAAAATGCATTACGCATACCACGATAGCCGGTCTATCGTGGTTATGGGGGACTCACTGTCCTACCGGGGACCCTAAGTGATACCCCCTAAAAACCGCCTTTAGGGACAGGCAACCGGCTGATTAAGCTCTATTGTGCCTTATCATGAGCGACCCTCTTTTGGGAAAAGAGGGCGCAGGCGGCTAAGTGCCGCTGAGGGAGTGCCTACGAAGGCAATTTAATGTCAGATATTACAATAATTTTATTTAATTAGAGTTGGCCTGAGCTGCCAGGAGACAGTTCAGGTCGTTTGAAAGTTTATTAGGCGGGTCCGAGAGAGAGTTTCTCGGCCTGCGGACACGATAGCGAGAGGGGGGTGGGGCTGCATAAGAAGCTGCCTCACGAATTAAGTGGTTTGGGTGCGACTCTGAGGCTTTGAAGAAGTTCTCAGAGAGTTTTTTAAGAAATTGCTGAATTGTTGGGAGCTCTAAGTCCCGATGAAGGTCGGCATTGCGGACGTACCACGGTGCGTTCGCAGCTCGACGACAGAATAGGTTCTGAACTATTTGGAGTTCATTTAAAATGTTAGGGTTTGCGTGGGCAAAGACGGGGCCCGCGTAGGACATGACTGGTCGTATACATACCTTATAGAGTGTACGCTTGTTTCGAAGGGACATTTTACTGTGTCGGCCCAACATACTGTTGAGCCTACTCAGATAAAAACGTGCGTGACGGGTTACTCTTTTGACGTGGGGCTTGAAAGTGAGCCCTGTGTCTAGAGTGACACCTAAATATTTGGCGGACGTATGCCAGGGGACAGGGGTCCCTAGCATACGTATTGGTGGAGTGTTTTTGAGACGGCGTCGTTTATAATCGAAGTGAACGGCGGAGCTCTTCTCCGGGTTCACGTCGATGCGCCATTTTTTGAACCAAGCTCCTAGGTCATCAACTGACTTTTGGATCTTGTTCCGTATGAAGGGTAGTGAGACACCTTTGCAGTAGATGGCAGTGTCGTCTGCAAAGAGGGAGAGTTGAACACCTTTCGACGGGATGGGAATGTCGTTGGTGAATATGATGTACAGCAGAGGAGCAAGTACTGAGCCCTGAGGGACACCAGCCTTGATAGTTCGCTGTGAAGAGAGCGTGCCTTCGTGTCTGAAACGAAAGGTACGATGTTTTAAATAGGAGGCCACGAGACGAACTAGACGATCGGGGAGACCTATTTTATAGAGCTTGTAGATAAGGCCTGTGTGCCAGACTCTATCGAAAGCTTTGGCTATATCGAAAAAGACCGCGATGGTCTTATGACGACGAGGATAGAAACCGCTGAGGATATATTCCACAATGCGGTGAACTTGTTGGGGACATGAGTGTTTGGCTCGGAAGCCGAATTGATGGGGAATGATAAGAGGGTCGCCGTCTGTGGGAAACAGGTAGCGCCTCATACGACTTTGGATGACTCTTTCGAAGAGCTTGCCCATTGCCTTGAGGAGGCTAATGGGGCGATGGCTGGAGGGGGAGGTTGAGAGGCTTGCCTGGCTTGGGAATTCCAATCACAGTTGCCTCTTTCCACGTAGTGGGAAAATAACTAAGGTTGAAGCAGGCGTTGAAGATAATAGATAGAAGGGTTAACACCTGCTCGGGAAAGTGTTTGAGGGCTTGGTTGGAGATGCCATCCGCGCCCGGAGCCTTTTTAGGCTTAAGTCCTTTGATGAGGGATGAAATCTCATCATTGGACACAGAGATAGGTTCGGAGGCGGTAGGGGGGAGTTCCGGCGGCGGACCTCATCCTCTACTGCCTGGACGTGTGAGGGGTCAACAGGTTGAGAACTAGGGGAGCATTGATCGGCAATGCTATCCGCAAAGCACTCAGCCTTCTCCTCGTCCTCGAAGGCAACCGTGCCGTCGGGACGGGAGAGAGGGGGGAGTGTGGGTGATAGCGTCTATGCGGAGGGCTCTAGCCATCTGATAGTACGCTGTGTGAGATGGAGTGATATTCTCCATGAGCTTACTCTTTTCGAGATCTTGAAATTCAGAGAGGCGGAAGCGGAGTTTTCGTTGAAGACGATTGGCCGCGCGCCTGTATTCGGGGGTGGGATATTTTGCTGCTCTCCGGAAAGCAGCTTTTTTGGCTTTTAATAGGTTGCTAATATGTAGGGGAAGCCCACTATTGTTAGCAACCGGGACGACCCCTTTCGTTCTCCTTAAGGGAGGATTTAATAAGGGTGGAGAGTGAGTCGACCGCGGTGTCGATTTTTTCGGGACTGTCTAAGTCCGACGGAATGGAGATGGTAGAATCCTGTGAGTCCAGAGCTTTAGCTAGGGACTCCTTGAATCCCTTCCAATTAGTGAAGGTTTTTGTGTGTATTGGGGGAGGTGGCTGATGGCCAAGAATGAGGGAGACCGGTCTGTGATCTGATCCTAGATCGTCTAGTGTCTCGATTGCTCTGAGGTTGAGAGAAACTCCCTTGGAGTAACGCAAAATCTAACACATCGGGAGAGTGATCGGTGTTATCGGGAAAGTGAGTAACACCGAGAGGACTATGGACAGTGATATCAAGAGACTGCGTGATATCGAGCAGTATCTTGCCACTAGGGGACGTAGTGCGGCATGTCCATTCAGTATGCTTGGAGTTAAAATCTCCAAACATAATGACTGAATTGCCCAAGGATAAAATGGCTTCAAAATCTTTTTTGAGGGGATAGGTTCCTGAAGGGATGTAACAGGAGGCTATGAGGATGGACTGATGTCCAGTCATAGCTAGCTTGCATACCGTGGCTTCCATATTGGTAAGCTGCGGAGTAGAAATGGGCGAGCAATGAAGTGTCTTCTTGTAATAGATGGCCGTTCCGCCGCCTCGGCGGTCGGGTCTGTCATTACGAAGAAGAGAGAAGTTTCTAATAGAAAGGCCTCTAGTGTCCTTAGTTTTAAGATTAGTTTCCTGTAGGAGGAGGAAATCGACTTCATGATTTCGAAGAAAGAGCTTTAGCTCTGGGAGGTTATTTCGCAAGCCGCGAATATTGAATGATACAAGCGATAAACCCTTAGGTTTGATACGACCGTGGGATCTTGGTAGGTTAGTATTATTATCAGCCATTGAAGTTAAGTTAATTAAGTTAACT